GCTGCTGCTGCTGCTGCTGCTGGTGTTGCTGCTGCTGCTGCTGCTGCTGGTGTTGCTGCTGCTGCTGCTGGTCTTGCTGCTGCGCTTGGGTGTATAGTGAGCCGCCACGCTTGGAGCTGCAAACATAGACGATCTGTTGCTGCTGCTGCTGCTGCTGCTGCTGCTGCTGCTGCTGCTGCTGTATAGGTTCAAGGCTCCTCGCGGGTGCTGACGTCTTTGGCTGCTTCTATTGGTGTGGGGCAGCAGCAGCAGCAGCAGCAGCAGCAAGTTGCTGCACAGGCAACACCAGAGTTAGCTGCAGGTTAGTTCCTCTGCTGCTGTTGCTGCTGCTACTGCTGCTGCTGCTGCTGCTGCTGCTTTTCCTGCTGCTGCTGCTGCTGCTGTTTCCGCTACTGCTCCTCCTCCTGCTGCTTCTGCTGCTGCTGCTACTACTACTACTACTACAACTACTCCTTCTGCTGCTGCTGCTGCTGCTGCTGCTGCTGCTGCTGCTGCAGGAGCTGGCCTGGGTACTGGTAGCGGCAGCGGGGAGGGGAGCGGGCTGAGCGGCAGCGGCTCTGCTTGCTGGTGGAGAAGAGGAAATGTTTCTTATGCTTCAAATGAAGTTTATGTAGATACAATAGAAAAAATTAACGCTATTGTACACAGGTATTTTATTTATTTATTTATTTATTTGTTTTTATTTTGTTTTTTTATTTGTTTTGTTTTTTTTTTCTGTTTTTTTTTTGTTTTTTTTTGGTTTTTTTTTGTTTTTTTTTGGCTTTTTTGTGTTTTTTTTATGTTTCTTATGCTTCAAATGAAGTTTATGTAGATACAATAGAAAAAATAAACGCTATTGTACACAGGTATCTCTTTTTATTTAGTTTTATTTGTTTATTTATTTGTTTTTATTTTGTTTTTTTATTTGTTTTGTTTTTTTTTCTGTTTTTTTTTGTTTTTTTTTGGTTTTTTTGTGTTTTTTTTTGGTTTTTTTGTGTTTTTTTGTGAATGTTTCTTATGCTTCAAATGAAGTTTATGTAGATACAATAGAAAAAATAAACGGTATTGTACACAGGTATCTCTTTTTATTTAGTTTTATTTA